AGGCGTCAGTTTTCTTGCTGAAGTTGTGTTTCTCGTCTGTTCAGTTGATAATTGCCTTTATACAGTCCTGCCTGACGGGATGGCGTAGTTACATGACGATGAGCTGTGACACTGCTGTAAGATGAAGCCGGCTACACTTTCTCCAACTTAGTATACTTGTATACCTAGATCGCTGAGCCTGTGTCGGCACTCGGCAAATTCAGTTCCATTGCAGCCTGCTTCAACTTGCTAAATGTTTTATCGAGGATTGCCATAATAAACTGTTTAAGAAATCATCGGAACTTGCAATTTATCGGTTACAGCTTCCCGAAGTTATTCATATGAAAACCACAATGAATTATCGTATCAACTGCACACATTTTCATTTCAAAAGTCAATAGAATGTCGTTACCTGGTCACTATCACAGCTGTGAATACTTTTCGCTGGCATTGTTGATATAGTTTCTAATGCTCGCGTGCTTTTTACACGTTAACCCTATTAGTGGCAGGGGGGGGTTGTTTTTATCCACCCCTCAGGTTTTTCGGGAATATCTCCGAAACCGCTGAAGCTACGATGCTGAAATTTTCTGACTTTTCCTAAAACTAAATTGGGCACATTCCCTGAAAATTTCAAGTTCATAACTTTACCAAGGGCGGCTCCAGAGCACTGGGAATTGGGGGGTCCTATTCGTGAAGCGAGTCATTTGGGCGAAGATCACGATGCTGCACCAGTTTTACGAACAGTGAATGAAAGGTATCATGTGATAACATATACAAAGTTATTGTGCATCCTCTTTTGACGCGATTTTGCTATAATAGGCGGATTCAGGCGTCCAAAAAGGGGGGTTGTTTTTTACCTCCCAACATAGGTGCCCTGACACCGCCTATGCATGACCAATACAATTTTAGTCGTTCTCTCATAAGAAAATTGTAACATAACAAGACCATTGCCACCCTTTTTAGAAACAGTACCAACAAAAACCTTATTTACTATACTTTTTGTGTACCCCAATCTCAATGATCTGTATCCGCCTATGATTTTTGAAAATGCATATTTTTAGGATCCATGTGAATTCCTGGTTCATTCTCTATCGATCGGCAAAAGTTGCGTTAAGATTGGTTCAGAAACCTGGCCGTGATAAACAGTCTAAAATGTATCTGCAATTTGCCCGTTTTTACCCCCCTCTACCCCCCTGTTGACATTTTTCAATTTTATTTTTTTTAGAAATGTAGATCTCGTTGAGCGAAATCGAATGCCGTTTGAATTTTGAAAATCGGCCCGTTAGATCTCGAGATATCAGGGGGGGGGGTCGTAAACAGCCCCCCCCCCTGCCACTAATAGGGGGTAGCCAGGAGCCTGCCACTAATAGGGTTAATAAATTTAAAGGGTCTTCTAATTGTATCATTCATTCAGTTGCGTGGGATCTTCTACCACGCCAACTAAATTTCGAACATCATTTTTTTTTTTACAATAGCTTATTGGGCCGATCCCTCCTTCATCATCGCTCCTCTCAACTGGCTATGTCCAAGCCGTTTGCCGATGTCTCACGATATTTCCCCATTTTGACCCGTATACCAGATCTAGGGAAGTGTTCTACTTTTTTAGAAAAGTCTCTAGATCAACGATCTCGTCCGTTTGCTCCCGTTCTTGCAATTTACGATGCTGAACGGTCGTAGTGGGAACCCGGCCTTAGGCATTTGAAATTGATGAATGTGTTGGAAAAATAACTGAATGGCAATAATTTACATCCGATCAGGCGCTCTATTGTAACAGCTATGAGCCGCCATGGTGCCAAGGCTATTACTAAGTCTTAGCGCCAGCGCTCACGGGCATTCAACAGGTGGAAGGCATGCAAGTGGCACCCGTTGCACAATGAAGTGATGTTATGGTGCTATGCCACGTAGAACTCGCTCCATCGTGAACATTGTAATGCATGTAAAACAAACTGGAAGCCTCTGTGCAGCCGACGTGTTAGCAAGAGTGACTCAGCACTTATCTTAACGACTCGCATGTAGCTGCTTCCAGGCATGGATCATATAAATATATTCACGAAGTGCTGAGGGCTGTCTAGGAAGTGGGGCAGAAAATCTGTGAACAGCAGCCTGTCGAGCAGACTGTGCAGGTCATCTGGATCGCATCAGCAGCGCGAGAGGTGTTACATAACGTAACACGACTAAACTCCGGCAGAGTTATGCTCCGATGTCATACATTACTGTAAACGATCGTCCATATCATACATCACCGTCACCGGCACTCGGCAGCCTAGCTACGCGGACTGTGAACGTCGTTGTTATGCACAAACCGTTTGAGGTGAGGTGAAACAGTTTCGCGAGAAATACTTACTTTGATACTAATTTAAACCATGAATAATCAATAAAAGATACACAAAATGAGAAATGATATATAGTCATTAAAATGTCATTGGAAGGAAAATTCACTTTCACCAATCCAGACTACCACACAGAATAATAACAGCGATGTTTGTCCCCAAGATCAAAGTTCACGTGGCTTGACCTCCCACTGTGACTGAAAACGACCGTTTCGCGTCGGCAGAACGAACACTGCGCTCAGCCATCTGACCCTTCACCTACAGCAACAAGACAAACAATGAAGCCAGTCTTCAGGACGGGGGGGGGGTGACTGTGACGGTGGCGTGACCGTCACGTGACGGTGGGGTGACGGTCGCGTCACCGCCCAACGCTGACCCGTCCTAGCACTGTGCAGTCTAGCTCCACCCACCACCGCTAGTCATTGACGTTGAAAATGAAGGATTTATGTGCCTTGAAAAGCAGCAGTTCAGCAGCAGGAGCAGCCGACAAATAGGGATGGAAGAGCAAGGAACCTTTGACTTTCACATTATATGTCGCCAAAACTCACCCTCTCACCACAGCTACTGCCCCGGTCAAATGATTATCACCGAAAAAAATATACTCTTTATCAATATTACTTATTTTAGCGAGCCATCACGATCCGTTGCACTGGACACGAGTCACCACTGTGGCTAAGTTTACCACAGGCGTCGTTTTTACGGTTCTGGCGCGTTATACGGCAGAAATCTGGGGAACTATTTTGGGTTCTGTTTCTTGTGCCATCCTGCTGAACCGTTTCCCTCGCCCCATTTACTCCCATTCCCCTCGCTCTCCTTCCGCTCCCCTGACCCACAGGTAGAAATAGGTTGTCCAGCAGTGTGCAGCGTTTTGATCCACGGCTGGCTGAAATGGGTCACCACTACCCAAAGAAAACACAGCCCGCATAGCTGAAGACGTCCAAGCAATGTGTTGGCCGGATTTCTGCTGGCTTATGATAACATGTGGATTGTGGGGAGCTATGACTACGACTGGAATCGGACTGGACTGAACCGTGACTAGAAGAGACTGGGATGAAGCGGGACTTAATATATCTAATAAATTCAATAGATGCCGGATTTATCACATGCAAGCAGCAAGAACATGTGCCATAGAAAAAAGGATAACAACTTCCAAAGACGCTGTGGTGTAAGAAAGGAACCAATACAAATTAGACAGTCTGCCTACAAGACCAAAAGATCTTCATTCATACTCGTAGTCAAAATTGACCATTTAGATCAAGCAGTGACCTGACCCCATTATAGTTAACGACGCTAAAAGTGACTAAAACAGTATCGGACGAGTGACAATACAAATGACAACGCATTCAAATTGTCTAGTTGGATTAGCTAGACCAGAAAACGTATGATAGATAACTGAAAAATAACCAAAAATTGGTGTGACTATATTGTGACCTAGCATTATCCTTACATCACAAGTAATGTTTATTCCAGGTTCGGTACTTGAATAGTGTGTAAACGAACCATATATGTATGCATAAGCGGTATGATCCTAATTGATCTCGATACAGGCAGCTTGGTTTGTGCACCTCTCCCCCCTCCCCTGAGCCATAAGTGTTGAAAGTTGGAACTGGATCATGGATGGTTTGAAACCAGGGATGCGGAGCCGTGGAAATTCCAGACGGCTCCAGCTCCCGCTCCAGCTCCGGCTCTGGGTGAAATGTCAAGGCGGCTCCGGCTCTGGCTCCGGCTCCAATGCTCAGTACATCCCTACGCAATTAAATACGGGTGGAAGAAAAAAGACGATGGGATTGGTGCACGTTGCTTCTGTACTTGTATAACATGGCTATTTTCATATTCAAATACCACATGTTTTACAGCCTTGAACTGCCAAACCGAACTAGGTCAATAATTTTTTCCTCTTCAAAAAAAAAAAAGAAGCCGGAGTCGCCCCCTTTTTTGACGGCTCCGGCTCCGGCTCCGGCTCCGGGCTATATTGTTTCACGGCTCCGGCTCCGGCTCCGGGCAAAATATGCCGGCTCCGGCGGCTCCGGCTCCAGCTCCGCATCCCTGTTTGAAACTGAACTTTTTCCTCCGGTAAGCCACGTCGCTACATGTATTTACGTATGTTTTTATCTTTCATGAGTGCAGATATCGTTTTCATCGTGTTAACCAAGACGGCAGTTTTAAAACCGTGGTCTGAGCAGTCACAACGACTCACAGCCCAGGCGTTAACTATTACGTGTAGCCTACGATAAAAAGCCGGCAACTACTACAGCTTATCTAATCTATCTTCCTTCCATTAGTCGGGTTTTGTCGACAAGTGCTAAAGCCAGCTCCACGATAAGACTGAATCTGAATAGATTCCAGAATATAAGCCGAGAAGTGTGTCATTGGAACGCCAGATTCTGACGTTTCATTCTTCAAATGTAGACAACTCTCCCAGATGTGGGCGGGTCCCTGACAAACAAGATCACGTGGCCGGAATGCCGGCTGGCCATCGGCCAGTAGGTGACAGGGGAGGTCACCCCAGATGGTGTTCAGCTGGACAGTTACCGGGAAGGGCGAGCCCACATCACCAATGGAAAAGTACCGGTCTCCGGCGGGCAGCCGGCTGCAGGGGGACGGGGGCGCATGTCACGCAGCCGACCGACGACGACGCGTGGTTGGCTGTCGCGGCCCGGCCGACTGGCCAGCGCACGCGCGCCGAAAGACAGGCCCCGGACGGAGCCAGGGAGGCACGGGCAGCCGGTCACTGTCGGACCGACGCCAGCCAGGAGCGCACCGCGACCTGACCTCCGGCAGACACACCCGATTCACTCAGCCGTCGCCGCCGCCGCCGAACTGGCACCTCAGACTCGCAACACGGAGCTCAACCTACCACTTCTTCTTCACGATGACTGGCGATAACAGCTTCATCACGGCTTCTAAACCGTCAGACGGCACGGTCCGCGCCAGTCGGCCGGCCGCCGCCTGTAACGGTCATGCAACGACTCACAACGGCGCTGGTAAGGCCATCCCACCGCCCAGCACAGCAAAGCCGACCTATCACATGAACGGCATCACCAACGGAACGGCAAGTAAGGCTGCCGAGACCCGGCCGTTCTACCAGCGAGTCCTCGCGCTAGTTGAGGAGCTGGAGCTGCCGTGCGCCGTGCAGCACGAGCGCGACAGTCGACCCCCGCTGCTGCGCTTCCACCAGCCGTCGGAGCTGGCGCAGCTGCTGCCGATGCAGCTGGGTGAGCCGGTGGCCAGCGAGGACGAGCTGCTGCAGCTCTGCCGACGCGCTGCCGAGCTCTCCGTGCGCACTGACGACGTCCGCTTCAGGAACCAGCTGTTCGGCGGCATGGACAAGTACGGCCTGGCCGGCGCGCTGCTCACCGAGTGCCTCAACACCAGCCAGTACACGTACGAGGTGTCTCCCGTGTTCACCCTCTGCGAGGCCGAGCTGCTCGCCAAGGTGCGACGCATCATCGGCTGGAGCTCCGGCGACGGCATCTTCGCCGCCGGCGGCTCCATGTCCAACCAGTACGCCCTCGCGATGGCGCGCTACAACCGCCATCCGGAGGTGAAGACCCATGGTATGTTCGGCGCCAAGCCGATGGTGGTCTTCACCTCTGTAGACTCGCACTACTCGATCATGAAGGCGGCCAACTGGCACGGTTTCGGCTCTGACAACGTGGTTCAGGTGGGCACCGACTCGCTGGGCCGGATGCGGCCGGACCTGCTGCTGGAGGCCGTACAGCGCGTCCTGGCCGAGGGCCGCGAGCCGCTCTTCGTCAACGCCACGTGCGGCACCACCGTGCTGGGCGCCTACGACCCCGTGCCGGCCATCGCCGACATCTGCCAGCAGTACGGCCTCTGGCTGCACGTGGACGCGTGCTGGGGAGGCGCGGCCATGCTCTCCCGCCGCTGGCAGCACCTGATGACCGGCGTCGAGCGCGCCGACTCTGTGGCCTGGAACCCACACAAGATGCTGGGCGCGCCACAGCAGTGCGCGCTCATCGTGACGCGTCACGAAGGCCTGATGCACCACTGCAACTCGGCCAAGGCCACCTACCTGTTCCAGCAGGACAAGTTCTACGACGTGAGCTACGACACGGGCGATAAGTCGATCCAGTGCGGCCGCAAGGTGGACGCTTTCAAATTGTGGGTCATGTGGAAGGCGCACGGCGACGCGGGTCTGGAACGGATCATCGACACCACGTTCGCCGCGTCTCGGTTCTGCGCCGCCGAGGTGGCGCGTCGGCCCGGCTTCAGGCCCGTGCTGCCCAGTAACGACTCCCAGTGCGCCAACGTCAGCTTCTGGTACGTGCCGGAGGCTCTGCGCGGCCAGGAGGAGACGGAGGAGTGGTGGCAGCGGCTCAACCAGGTCGCTCCGCGCATCAAGGAGGGCATGATGCGCAGCGGCTCGCTCATGGTCAGCTACCAGCCTCTGCCGTCCAAACGATTCCACAACTTCTTCCGTTTGGTGTTCACGGGCGCGCCGCAGCCCAGCGAGCAGGATGTCACCGAGGCCCTGGACGAGATCGCCAGGATTGCCGAGGGTCTCTAGCGGTCGCGCGCCCTGGGCGGTCCGGCCGACGCCGCCAGCGCCACCTGTAGCCGTACTGACGGGGAGGGGAGGGACGGGTGGGGTAGAGCCGCACCGGGGCGAGCCAACGACTGCTGGGTCCAGTCTGCGGTAGAGTCGCCCTGATAACGGCAATTTGTGTGATACTCAGGTTCAACGCACAAGGGTGTATCACATTACGAGATCTGAACACATATTCGCTAAAGATATTACGAAATACATCAGTCAATCACATACATTCGCGTTTGACATGGGATTACCGATTACCTGCACAACTGGGGCCCTACACAAAGTTCGTCACTATACCTAGCTGGAGCACAACATCCAGAAATAAACACGATCTAGTCAGTTACAACATAAACAATCTTTCATTAAATGTGTCGCATCGGCATGAGAATGGTGTGGTAGTGGCAGCAAAGGCACGAGAGAGCGTGGGTAAAGCTCTAGGTTACCGGTGACAGAACACGTTTTTCACCTAAGGATGTTCATAAACAGCATTATTTTTTACTGGCAGTTGCACATATGACCATATGTTCAAGTGCGTGTTGTGTCCAATTCCAATATCTATATCGGTAGTTATATGAGTCATGGGTGAAGGCACACGCGAAGGCAATCGAACTATCGAATGACGAAGGGTCAGTAAACTGCACATTCAATGCACATTCAGCATTTGTATCGATGAAACGTGTCGTGATTTGTAATTTGTTTTAAAGGTGTGGATATGCATTCGCGGGATGGAATGCGGTGGGAGGAACTTTGTGATTTTGCCCTCAAATCCGACTAAACAATAAAATACTCGCATGTGGATTTTGGAGGCATGAACGCCATTCCGAATATAGGATGTGTGTGCAATAAAATGATTCGTCTCTTCTCTATCGGTGTCTCTCCCTCTTCCATCACTTTTTTATGTCCCCCTCCTACTTTCCCTTTCCCTCTCTTCTCTCTTTCCTTTCCCTTCCCACTCTCCTCTCTCCATCCATCTCCCTCTATTTCCGCGTTGTTGTTTGTTTGCTTTGTTGGACTGATCCGTATAACTATGTATTGGTCTAATTAGATAAGTCCAGAGTTGTCGAATGGAAGGATAAATGGGAAACATTCGGGGTGCTGATCTGATCACCGGCTAGCGCAGTGCAGTGGTTGGACATCACGCAAACACTTTTCCCATGCACGGATTCAAGGAAATGGATCTCGGATCTGAGCCGCGGATTTTTATCTCGAATCCGATGGGATCACAGATTTTGACTATTTTGACGCGAGATCCATTGGGATCATAGACCCGAACCCATTTTTATCCAGGGACAAGGCGAGATCTTAGATAATACTCAATTTTTGTTGATACAGAAATTATCAAGGAAAACTTGCTGCAATTCGCACAATTCATAATTTTGTGGCACTCATCTCATTGACATGGAACCATCTGGAAACATGGTTTTGTAGGTGGAGTGTGGGATCCACTCGGATCATACCAATCGCTGTAAGTCCTCATGGATTGTATCAGATCTTAGGAGATCACACTTATATCCAGAACATATATTAGGTTTGCGTGGAATCAAATGAGATCAGAGATCCTAGCTTATCATTTGCTTCAAACTCCAACGAAATCTCCATCACTCGGATCCATGCACATGTCTGAATTAGGTCACGTTCAGGTCAAGGTCGGGCTCAGGATAGGTTAAATAAAATCATCTTCGAAAGCTGGTATTTTAGAGTTAATTCGACGTCTATCTTTAAACTTATTTTTCGTTATGGCGATACGCTACGATCGGGTAATCACCATGGCAGTGCGATTTAATTAAACTACACGGAGAAAATTTAAAACACTGTTAACGGTGTAAGTGGTTAAACTGCATACCCACGGGTGTTTTTGAAAGGTGTCAGATAACACTTATATGAGCGTCAAGATACACCATTGTACTATCCCTAAGGGTGTCCAGTTTCTGCACTGAAAACTTAAATGATTCCGGGGGTGTGATATTAGGAGAATGGTCTAAAACGAAACCCCAGTTATTCCCGTAATATACTTCAAGTAGCACCTTTTTGGCCTTAGATACCCCCAATATCCCAACATTATTACCCTAATATGCCTGTTGGATGGCTAAGTGGAATCAAAATGATTATCTGGTTATGCCTCCATTATTCTTACGAAATGCCTAGTGTATTCCCCCTGAATCTCCTCTATGCCCCTTTGATGCCCCCTAGCATAGTTCGGATGCTCCGTCTAAACCCGATCTATGCTCCTTTGATGCTATCTATATACCCCATTGATGCTCCTTTGATGCTTGCTATAAACCCCATTGATGCTCCTTTGATGCTCTCTATATATACCCTATTGATGCTCCTTTGATGCTCTCTACATACCCCATTGATGCTCTCTATATACCCCATTGATGCTGATTTGATGCTCTCTATGCACCACATTGATGCTCCTTTGATGCTCTCTATATACCCCATTGATGCTTCGTTCCGCAGTGGCGGATCAAGGGATGGGCTCGCGGGGTCATGCTATTCCTCGTGAGATCCCCATGAGATACCTAGCGCACTGATTTCTTTACCCACACAAAGGTAAGAGACGCCATTTATGTAACCACCTTCGCCCTTCCTCTGAATTTCCTGGATCCGCCCATGCCATCGACGCTCAGCCACACCAACAGCAACCACGATACGCTTGTGTGTATAAGAAAAACGTACTGTATTGATTGGAAAGACAACTGCCTCTGCATTCATTTCAAAATCACAGCTTCCTAGTTGCCAAGAGACATTCAATTTGTACAGTCTGTCTTAAAATGATTTCCAATTTGGGTTTAGACAAAAACATTCAACTTACATGCCAATCTCGTTACTCCATGATTTCATTACTGAAAACTTGTCTGTCAGACGTAAAGCTGCAGCAATATACCTGGACCTTGCTCGTGCCTTTGATACCGTAAATATTGATATTCTGCTTCGCAAACTATCTAAATACGGCGTTGGAGATAGTGCTTATCAACTTCTATCATCATATCTAACGTCAAGGTCACAAAAACTTAAATACAAAGACATCATCTCAGGTGCCAGGGACGTCACCTGTGGTGTACCGCAGGGCTCGCTTCTGGGACCATTGTTATTTCTTACTTATATTAATGATTTACACGCTGCCTGTCAAGAAGCCAAAATATTCCTCTTTGCTGATGACACTGTATTGCTATATTCTGCTCCAACTCTGGCTGAGCTGCAAAGCATTATTTCAAGGTCGTTCCCTAAGATACATAAGTGGCTTCAGGCCAATAGATTATCTCTCTCAATACCTAAAACTTTCTATCAAATATACTCCTCTCAAGGGACTGAGCCAGATTTAACAATTCCGGTTGCAAACTCATGTCTTAAACGAACTAAAACTGTAAAATATCTCGGTATTCTCATTGATGAGAACCTAAAATTCAAATCGCACATTAACAAAGTATCAGGAATTTGTAGTAGAAACTTAGGTATTCTTTACAGAGCCAGATACTTACTTACCCGAGACTTACTGATTCTCCTATATAATTCACTAGTACAACCCTACCTTATGTATTGTTCACATATTTGGGGCTCGAACTATCCGACAACCCTCAAACCTATTATAACAGTCCAGAAGCGAGCCATTCGCCTGATTATGAACAAGGAGCCCAGAACATCTACATCCCCACTCTTCAGAGAGTTACGAATGCTGAAATTCAACGATCTAGTTAAGTATCAAATCCTATTGGTTCTACATGACTGTCTATTTGGTCATCTTCCTAACGCGGTAGCTGACAGACTAGCCATTAACCATGACTCCCCAAGTAGATCGAGACGTACGCAACATTTCCGAGAGCAGAGTAGTACAAGTGGTAATATTCCCAACCACAGACTTACTAACTACCGACGATATGTACTATTCCATGCGGGCCCATTGTTGTGGAATGAAGTTGTAGCCTCACGAATTCCCAATATTAATGATATTCCGGCATCTAAAGCCTTATTTAAAAAATGCATTAAAATCATATTTATTGATACTTATTAACCTGTCTTGCATACTCTCTATATACTTGATACACACCCACACCCGTCTTGCGGTACTCCGGAGCAAGGCGAGCGGCTAGCCAATCTGTATCTTCTTTTCTCTTTCTTTTTTTCTCTCTCTTCTTTTTTTTTAAACTACATCTTATCACCACGGTAACCACAAATCCACCTGTGCGTAAATTATCATTTATCACCCTGTCGTTAAATGATTTAATCAAATAACTAATTTGTGCTTTGTGTAGTGGCCACGGGAAGCCTTGTGACCTTTGCCACACACAATTGCACGTACAGCCCGGAATATATCATTAGCACATTCAGTTTTGTTTATATATTTTCGCAATACATGTATATCAAGCAAAATCAGTGTTAAGAAGCCATTTGTTCGCTATCTATCAATCCTATTCCCCCCCCTCTACCCCATGCCCATGACATCACCATCTATATGTCCATTACATACATACCTCACTCCCTGTTTCCAGCACCCTCCGGACGCTGCTCAACTGTCGGCTCACTCTGCTGCCTGGGCTTACGCTGCCCTGCGGAGCTCAGCCACGGGCGACGGGATGTCGGCTCCAACTGTCGCGGCCTGTGCTGCCGATCGGGCCTCAGTCCCTACCGGCGCCGGATGGGACGCCGACGTCGGCCGCTGCCGATCCGTCTGTGGTCCGCCGATGATCGGACTCGTGCTGGACTCGTGCCATAACTACCTCCGATGTGACTCGCGGCAAGCTGCCGACGTCCATCTCAGTCGCCAGAATGCTGCCATCTGGGCCCTCGTTGCTGTTGGCGAGAGTCGCACTGCGAGTGGCCTAACCTCGACCTCCACTGACCTCGGTCCCTGCCGACACCGGTGGGACGCCACGTCGGCCGCTGCAGATCCGGCTCTGATCCACCGCCGATCAGACTCGTGCCATACCTACCTCCGACTTGATTCTCAGCAAGCCACCAGCGTCCGTCTCAGTCGCCCGTCACAATCACCAGGATGCTGCAATCTGGGCTCTCGTTGCTGACGGCGCGAGTCGCTCTGCGAGTGGCCTAACCTCGACCTCCGCTGACCTCGGACCCTGCCGACGCCGGTGCGATGCCACGTCGGCCGCTGCAGATGATGACCCTGCTCTGAATTGACGCTCCACTGGTCGTGGATGCTGCCGGCCCCGCCTCAAGCGCCGGTGATGCTGCCGCCTGAATGCCGGACTGGGCGCCTGGCCTCGATGTG